GTGTGTGTGTGTGTGTGTGTGTGTGTGTGTGTGTGTGTGTGTGTGTGTGTGTGTGTGTGTGTGTGTGTGTGTGTGTGAATTCAAGAAGATAATTCAACTTTTGTTATGTTTTTAAATCCGAAAATTTTTATTTAATATAGGATGTCTACATAATGTAAACATAAATTTTTTTATTGATGAAATGTTCCATATGCTATTACTGTCACATATGTGCATATGTGCGCGCAAACATATGTGCACGCATGTACAAATAATATAAAATTAAATATATTAAAAATTATTTGAGAAATTATTAGAGATTGCAACAAAATCTTTTTTGTGTTTTAGGGTTTTAAGGCCTTCCATATGATATATAGAATACTGCTGCCGGACTGCTCAGAAGGGAATAAATATTTTTTTAATCATTTTTTCATATAAATTCTTCCTTATCATTTTGCATATTAAAATATTAAGATCATTAAATAATTAGGAAATATGATATTTTATTTTGATAAAATGTGAAATATCTTATATGCTCGTATAGTATCTTTTATATTATAATTATTTTATCCTCGTATTTTTAACAGAATGATAGGAAAAATATATTGATACAACTTTGTCTTATATCTATAGTCTTGTATCTATGTCTTGCATCAATGCATTCGATAATATGCAATTTCTTTTAAATATAGTTACATGTTTTGTTATATTATTTTGTTATATTTTATTATATAAAATTTTAGTATACAAAATATTTAAATAAAATTATGAAAAAAAATGTTTTATGAAATATTTCATATTTTGTCAAAATATATAAGATAAAATTTTAAATATCTTCTTCAACGTCTCTTATTAATCTCTTCGCATTCACTTTCTAATTTTATTTTAGTTTTTATTTTAATATTCTCACATGCAGGATGATAAAGAGAATAAATATGTGTAAGAAAAAAATAATTTAATGAAGAACGGAAGATATTGGTTGCTTAATCCCTTCCTGCACCCAGCAACAATACTCCATATATTATATGAAATGTATTATAAAATCTTTAAATATTAAAAAAGATTTTGTCATTTTAAAATTACATATATGTGTGTATATATAAACTCCCAATTTATTATTAAATATTATTTAATAAGAAACTAAAAATTTGAAAATATTATCAATATGAAACATTTTCTTCTGCAATATTTAATGACAATAATTAATGTCATCCAAAATCATTGTTGTTGTTCTTTAGGCGAGTATATGTCAATCATACTCTTCATAATATGACTCTTATATACTTTCAGCCTTCTGGGTTATGTGTGTTTATTTAAAAAACAGCACCAATTTAGATTCTGTTTAATAACTACTTTTTTCTCAAGTATTGCAGAAAAAATGATTTAAGTTGTTTTGATTTGCTTTTTACTGAAGCCTTCTTGAACAAGAAAGTTTTTTTATTAGGAATATAAGTTGTATAATCAGTAGATGCAAATTACAAAACACTCTGTGCACGCGTAATGTATAAATGTAAATGAAAGAGCGAGATAAAAAGAGGAATAATTATTGTCTTTAATATCTTTGAAATTATAACAGAGAATAAAGACAAGGTTTATTCAATAGGATTTATATCATATTTATATTTTTATCATTTATTTTTTAATCGGATAAAATCTTGTAGAATGTAGAATGACAACTATTAAATATCAACTTTTGATATAACAATATGATAGATCAATGAATTTTGTTGTTATATGTTTCAAATAGCTTCAATGTCAAACTTTTGCATATTTTATTATTTTGTAGGATAATTTATTGCTATCTAATAAATACGAATAATACAATAATATTACATTAATGTTAAATTTTCCACTCAGTAGTATATATATATATATATATATATATATAATTTTTTGTTTTGTGTTGACGCGATTTTTTGATATCATTATTTTTAGAGAAGGAAATTTTAGAGAAATAAATTTAAATTTAAATTTAAATTAAATTATATTAAACGTAATATTTAATATTAAGTATTAATTAATAAAGCAATTTTGCTTCAATTTTGTTTGCAACACATTATTATTAATGATTACTATTAATTATTTTTACTTTAATTAAAATAATATTTTATAAAAGATATTTCTTACTCTTATAACAGCATAAATTTAGCACTTTTTCTTATTTTTTTTTTAATGGATCACACATTTTTTGTATAACATTTATAATTGCATAATCAATAGAAATATTTTAAATAGCAGCAGAGAAACTATAATTTTACATTTTCTTATGTGATTAAAAACATAAATTTAATGTTAATTGATATCGAAATATTCATTTAATGTACATTTCCAAAACATAGTAGACTTCTTATTAACCGGTTCTTGTGCGATCAAATTCCATATTGAATAAATAAATAAATAAATGAATGGTTGTTTAATACAAAATACTATTTATAAATTAAATAAAAACTAACTATTACGTTATACATAAATGTTTATTGTGCATTTTCTTGTACGAAAGATTAGTAATTTAAAAAAAAAAGGAAAAAAGAAATTTATAACAGCATTGTCCAAGCATAGAATATGAAATAATTTTCTATCGCAGCATCTTAGATTTGTATCTCTCCTTGTATTAAATT